TGGTCTTTTTGAGACTGGGTCTCCCTGTAGCCCCAGCTGTCCTGGAACTCACTATGTAGACCAGGCTGGCTTTGAACTCACAGAGATTTGCCTGCCTCTGCCTCCTGAGTGCTGGGATTAAAGGCATGCGCCACCACGCCCAGCTTTATATTTTATTATTTTTTAATTTAGTTTTGTTTTGTTTATTGAGACAGGCTCTCACTATGTAGCCCTGACTGGCCTGGAACAACTCACTATGTAGACCAAGCTGGTCTTGAACTCACAGAAACCTACCTGCTTCTACCTCCCAAGTGCTAAGATTAAAGGTATGCACTATCATGCCCAGTGTTAGGATTCTTTCTTAACACCAGATTCCCAAGGGAGACACTGATTATAGTATTTGCTTGTCTTTGCCTCCCAAATTATTGGCCACTGTCCAGCCATGCCTGGAGCTTTCATGATCAGATGTCCCCTTTAATGTAGCCACAATGGAGGGGGCTACCATAACCCTCCTGAGGCTAACCTCTTACAAGTCACTTCATCGGGTGGTAGCCAGGCTTGCCTGGACTGCTGAGGTTTGACCTAATTGTAATTTAACAGCAAGATCATACCTTCTCGGGCCAGGCGTGGTGGCACACACCTTTAATCCCAGCACTTGGGAGGCAGAGACAGGCAGATCTTTGTGAATTCGAAGCCAGCCTGGTCTACACAGTGAGTTCCAGGACAGCTGGGGCTACAAGGAGACCCTGTCTCAAAAAAAAAAAAAAAAAAAGATCATACCTTCTCACCTCACCTGCCCCTACACACAGTTTCCCTGGTTGTCCCCTCAGGAGCTGACCAGGGAAGGCTCAGATGGTACCTGGCAGCTCTTTAGATATTTGTAGATAGATCTGACGTTCTGTGATCATTAAGCTAATGGCCATGGGACCTGTGGCGGTTCCCTGTTCAATCCCCCACGTTGCTCTCTTTGGGTACAGCTTGTCAGGGCCCTTTTTTAAAGAGTGATGCCCTAACTAGAACATGGTACACTAGCCATGGTGTGAGCAGCACCTGGCTAAGCAGGGCTCTCCCCTCTGTGCTTGCGACACAGATCTTCTAGGTGAGTGACCTGGGTGCATTCACATTTCCCACAAAGTGTGCAACCCATTTGGTTTGGATTATGCTTGCTTTTAAAATATACTTGTCCTAGCTGGGTGTAGTGGCACACACCTTTAGTCCCAGCACTCAGGAGATCGGGAGGTTGAGGTCAGCCTGGTCTACATAGTGAATTCCAGGTCAGCTGGGGTACAGAGAGACCCTGTCTTAAAAATAACAACCAGTATATGCCTGTCCTTTTAAGAATGCATTGGTGCTTTCAGCCAAATTTGCAGTTTTATGTTGGTTTGTTCATTTCCTCTTGCACATCGTGAGCAGCGTGCTCTTCTAGCCTGAGTATAGAGACTTAGGGGTTCACAGAGATGTTTAGTGTTAGTCTCTCCTGGCAAGAAAGGGGTGGACCAACTTCCCAAGTCTTGAATGGTTCCAGCTCCCTGATCCTCCACCTGCTTCCTCTCTTCTAGCATATGTCATTATAGGAGTTTAAATGTAAAGATGACAGGATACTGGACGTGGTAGTGTACACCTTTGATCCCAGCACTAGAGAGGCAGAGGTAGGTGGATCTCTGAATTCAAGGCGAGCCTGGACAACATAGTAAGACCCTGTCTCAAAAAAAAAAAAAGAAAAGAGAAAAGTTCAAGATGACAAGGGTGCCCAGTGTGGCGTGAACCATCTCACTTTAGTAACAGCCTGCTGAGCTGAGACAGTCATGGTGAGAGACCAGCAGAGGAGCTGGAAGGCAGGAGGCAGGACTGCAGAAAGATTGCTGAGGTCTTTTTATGCCAAGGGAATGGAGCCAGAAGGACTCACACTACTCAATACTGTAGATGAAAAATCTAGCATGCATAACTTCAGCAGGTGCTTTTAACTCTGTTTTTCAGATGAATATACTAAAGCTTAGAAAATTCCAGTAGTTTGTTCAAGGTTCCCAGATGATGCTGGCAGTGCCAACGCGCTGCCCTAGTTGTTCAGTTTCAAAGACCACAAGCTTCATTGCCAGACTGTGCTATCGTGCCACATTATGTCCTTGACCACAGTGTACATGCAGTGACTGCCTCAGGAGACCCAGAGGACAGGTACCTGACTGGTGGGAGGGAGCGGTCAGCCAGGAGGGGGCTTCCTAGACAAGGCGATGCTGCCTTTGATCTTGGTGGATGAAGAGAGGTCATAAGGAAGAGACAAACGTCTTCTGGACAGAAGGCACAAGGCTTGCCTGGGCAGTTTGGAGAAACTGTTCAGAGTACCTGGAGCTCAGGATAGTGAGCTATTGAAGGGTAAAGGTAAAGAAATGGGGGGCTGGAGAGATGACTCAGCAGTTAAGAGCGCTGGTTACTCTTGCAGAAGACCCAGGTCAGTTCCTAGCACCCACATAGCAACTGACAACCTTCTATAACTGCTATTCCAGGGGATCCAATGCCCTTCTCTGGCCTCCTCGGGCACCACAGGTGGTATACATACATATAAATACACCTACAATAAAATAACTTAAAAAAAAAAAACAGAGAAGTGGGCAGAAGCTAGACCCTGCAGTCTATGTAGTTGCTGAAGTGAATGAGAATTTGTTTCTCAGGCTCTGAGGAGCAGTGATAGCATGAAGGGAGGAGACAGGTTTGCTGTGTGGCTGTGCAAAGGACGGGCAAGGTGAGGAGTTGGAGGACTGGAGCCTGGGATTCATGGAGGTGCGTGCTATAACCACGTGATTAGAGAGAAGGTGAAGTTTGAGTAAAGGCTCTGCCAGACTGACTCTACAAAGAGAGGAACTTTCAGGTGGTCACACAGTGCCATGTCACATGGGAAACTAAAACAGAGGTGGCTCAGCAGCATCTCACGCCTACCGAACACCTCAGGATCTTACCTTCCAGTTGCTTCCATCCTGTTAACTACTCACCCTCCCTGTCTCCACCTCCCCAACCCTCACCTGCTCTCCTACAAGACAGTTTCACACCTCCCCGTTCCTCCCCTGGCCTCCGGCAGGTCTTCCTCAGTCTGCCTCTCCTTGAGTAACTCTCCCTCCCAAATGGAGGGGACATCACTTCCACAGCCTCCCCACGCCAGGCTGCCCTGAGACCCAACTTCTCTGGCTCCCAGAGCCCCTTCAGCTGCCTGTCTGAGGGCACGCCTCTGCTCACACAGTCTCTGTCTTCTCATGAAATCACTCATTCACCAGCAATTTTCTCCTCTTTGTTTTATTTTTGTTTTTTTTTTAATATTATTAATGATTTATTTTAATTTATACAAGTGTTTTGATTTCTAGTATGTATTACAGATATGTGGGTAATGCCTGTGAACACCAGGAGAGGGCAACAGAGACACCATGTGGGTGCTGGGAATAGAACCCAGGTCCTCTGAAAGAACAGCAAGTGCTCTTAACCCTGAACCATATCGCCAATCCTTTATTTATTTATTTATTTATTTATTTATTTATTTATTATTTATTTTTGAGATGGGGTCTCACTATGTAATACTGGCCAGCCTGGAGCTCACTGTGTAGACCAGGCTGGCTTTGAAGAGACCTGCCTGTCTCTCCCTCTCAAATGCTGGAATTAAAGGCATACACAGCCCTGCCCTGCTTATTTTCTCCTCTTTAGACCACCGGTTTTTCCCTCTCTACCAGTTCACTTCATGCCAAAATTTCTCTTGCCTTAACCCTAACCTAACCCTAACCCTAACCCTAACCCTAACCCTAAAACGGGCTGGAGAGATGGCTCAGCAGTTAAGAGCACTTGGCTGTTCTTGCAGAGGACCCAGGTTCAGTTCCCTGCACCAACATAGCAGCTAATAACCATCCTTCACACCAGTTCCAGGGGATCCACACCCTCTTGCCTCTGTGGGCACTGCACATACATGGTGCACATATATACATGCAGGCGAAACACTTATACACACAAAACAAAAATAAATTAATTTAAAAAACAAACAGGGCTGACAAGATGGCTCAGCGGGCATGCCATGCAAGTTTGGCAACTGGAGTTCTGTCTCCAGAACCCACATAAAAGTGGAAGAAGGGAACTGACACCACAGAGCTGCCTCATCCTCCACACACGGCAATAATATAGATAAAAATTAAACAAAAGCTCTTGGGGCTGGGAATATGGCTCATTGGTAGAGGGCTTACCTAGCAAATGAGGCCAGGGTCTAATCCCCGCACTATGAAAGGGACTAAAGGCACCACCACAATCAGCTCCCATTCTTAAACCCACTCCTTCCATCAACACTACTTTGGTCAAGGTCCCTAGTGACTCTCACAGAGAAAACTCCATAGTCAGTTCCTCCTCTTGCCCTTGTGCTCAGCACTCCTGACAGCTGACGACACCCTCCCCAGGGAGAACCATTTTTGCTCCTGAGACTCCACACCACAGGTTCCTCCTGCCTTCCTGTCTATGTCTTTTCAGCCAGCTTCACTGCTTCCAGAGCTCAGAGTTTAGTCTGTTGGTTTAGTCTGTTTTCTGTTGCCCTAACAAAATGTCTGAGGCCAGTGCTTTATAAAGAAAAAAGGTTTGGGGGCTGAAGAGATGACTCAGTGGTTAAGAGCACTGGCTGTTCTTTCAGAAGACCCAGTTTCCATTCCCAGCACCCACGTGGCAGCTCCCAACTGTCTGTAACTCCAGTTCCAGGGAATCTGATGCCCTCTTCCCTCCATGGGCATTGCACACACAGAGCACTTACATACATGCAGACAAAACACTCAATACACACACACACACACACACACACACACACACACACACGCAAAGGTTTGTTTAGCTCACAGTTTTGGAGGCTGAAGAAATGGCACCAGGTCCTTCGTTTTCATCGTTCAACTCAATGTCTCCACCCTTGTCTCCTCCAACTCCTCAAGCCGGCCCTCAGAAGATGCTTTCACTCCACCTTCAAAATACATGTGGAGTCTGATCACTTGTTACCATCCCTCAGCCACTGCCCTGGCCAAGTCATCCCTCACGAAACACTAGAATGGTTTCCCACCCCATCTCCCCATCCCCTTTCCCACCTCAGTCTTTCCTCCCCTTTCCACCTCCCTCCCTCCTTCCTCTGTAGTCAAGGGTGACCTTGAACTTCTGACTCACCTGCCTTCATCTCCCAGTTACTGGGATTACAGGTGTGCACTGCCATGCCCCATATTTTGTGGTACCAGACATGGACCCTAGGAGGGCCTCGTGCACATCAGGCAAGCACTCTTATCAACTGAGCAACATTCCCAACTCCTCATTTATTTAGCAACAGGGTCTCATTATATAGCTCAGGTTGGCCTTGAACTCACAATTCTCCTTCCTCCTACCTCACACAGCCTCCTGATGCTGGGATTACCTGGCCTGAACTCCTGGGCGTAAGGGATTTTCCTGTTTCTGCCTTCTGAGTAGCTGGGATGGCAGGTGTGAGCCGCTGTGCCAGACTTGAACAAATGAGAGCTTATGTTTTGAGGACCTCTGCCCCAGGTCCTGCTTGCTTTGAACAGGAATATTGTTAACCTGCTCAGCTGAGTTCTTTGCCCTTGGTGTAAAGGCTTGGGCTTCTTTTACTGTTCTAGCCATGTAGAGACCATGTGGGACCCATTGGCCCAGGACCCTGAGGTCCTTTCTATTTATTTTCACTCTTGTTTTATGCATAGAAGTGTTTTGCCTGTATATTTGTATGTGCACCATGTGTGTGCAGTGCCTATGGAGGCCAGAATCGGGTATCTAACACCCTAGAACTGGAGTTAGGATGGTTGTTAGCTACCATGTGGGTGCTGGGACCTGAACCGTGGTCCTCTAGAAGAGCAGCCAGTGCTTTTAACCACTGAGCCATCTCTCTAGCCCCCTAAGGACCTCTGTTGATGCAAGCCTGGTGTTGGTGTCACTGCCCTCCTCCTTCTGCCCTGAGGTCTCACTGGATTGCCCCCACTGACTGTAGTACCAGGGACCACCTCCTGCTGCTTATTGATATCCCTGAGCCCAGAAGTCATCAGCTCTTCATCTTCTCTGCCTTTCTGTCTCTCCACTTGTCAGCTGTGATAAATTTGGGTAGATCAGGTAGCTTCTGTGAGCCTCAATTTCCTTGTCTACTAGATAGGCTAACAGTAGAACTTAGCTTGTGGAAATATTGTGGAAATTCTCCAAACAATGCTCAGAAAGCACCAGGCACATTCCTTGAATGAACTCTCCTTCAGCAAGTGTTACTCTTATCATTGCATTGCCATGGACTAAGGCATTTTTTAAAAAGATTTTATTTTTTTTATTCTATATGTATGAGTGGTTTTCCTTTATGTGTGTATGAGTATATTGCCTGCATGTATGTAAGTGTACAGTGTCATGCAGTACCCTCGGAGGCCAGAAGAGGATGTTGGATCCCCTGGAACTGGAGTTATAGATGGTTGTCAGCTGCCATGTGGGTGCTGGGAACCAAACCCAGGTCCTCTGCAAGAGCAGCTGGTGTTCTTAACTGCTGAGCCATCTCTCCAGCCCCAGTTAAGACATTTGTAAAGGCACAGAATAAATAGTAATGGGTGTCATTACCACTGTGGTGTTGCAGTCACTCCTCTCTCTGGAGGACCCACTGAACCCATGGTAGCTGCTCATGGCCTGACTTCACGGTGTTTGCCTAACCTTCCTGGTTTTCCCCATTCAGACCTGAAGGAGAACTACGATCAATGGAACAGCTTCATCGAAGGCATTGGACCGTCGCTCATTCCAGGGGCCCCACACCATCTGTCTAGTCTCTAAGCACAACTGATCATCTGTAGGTCACTTGAGCTGAGTTTCCATTTGGGAGCTGCCCTGGGGGGCACTTGTAACCTATCAGGAAGTGATCAGGCCTCATCCCTTTCTCACAGATTGATTGATCACACTGCTGATTGTGTACCTAGGTACTTTGATCTTGGACTTGATTTTGAATTCACTGGAATGTGGATCACTGACTGATTGGCAGGCTGACTTCTTGTTTTGAGACAGGGTCTCATATCCCAGGCTGGCCCTGAACTCACTATGTAGTGAGGATGACCTTGAACTTCTGATTCACCTGCCTCCGCCTCCCAAGTGCTGGAGTGCAGAATCACAGACATGTGCCACTACGCCTGGTTTATGATGCGGTGCTAAGCATTAAACTCTACCAACTGAGCATTCTCATCCTTTAGCAAGCTAACTTTCTGGGGCTGAGCCCCGAGAGTTTGAGGAACAAACATTGGGGTGAGGCTAGTTGAGACCCAGACCTCAAGCTGAGCCCCATGAGGCCTGGGTGTGAAGACAGCCCGGTGAGCCCACTCTCTCCCATTGGGCCAGTATTGCCTTTTTAGTATAAGGGGTGAAGCCAAAGGACAGAGGGGAATCTCAGCAGGGCCTCCAGCCCCGCCTGGTACTCTACCCTGCCTCCCAGCCCTCTCTTTTTCCAAGGCCACTTGGTGAAATATACTTTAGAGAATGCTCTGGTTTTCCACTTATTTGGGGGTCTTCCCACAGCATGAAACACAGTAATAGACACTTAGTACTGTTGTGTTTAGGAGCCCATGGGGTCAGACAGTACTGTCCTCATAACACAGGGAGCAACACTAAGACACAGAGAGGTACCACAGAAGTTCTGTGTGTCTTTGCAGTTATGCAAAAGTCTGTCTTGTCAGCTGAGGAGCCATTTGTACAGGCCACAGAGCATACTGGGTCGGTCAGCTCAAACTCAGCCACTCCTAGAGAGTTCTAGGGTTGACTTGGTCTTGCCTCTTACCTCTAAGACCAAAACCTCCAACTTGGCCCAAATCTGGGTGTTTTAATCATCTGTGTTTTGGGCTCTGATACCATCACCCCAAATTTGTCAAGAAACAGACCCACTTTCCATCCTGTTGCTTCTCTAATTTGAATGTTGACACTCGTGTTTACCTAATGGCACGTTGCAATGCCCCACCTATTCAACCTGCATTAGAGAGTCGGGAAGCCATCTCTGGAAGTGACTCTTCCTTCTGCCTGTGTTCACTCACTGCATGGGCCCCTGTAGAAAGTCTTCAGAAGGAAAGGAAATCTTCCCAGAGATCTAGTGCCAAGCAGCATGGGAAAGCCAGTCCAAAACTCCATCTCCATCACACAACCTCTCGCCTCCTCTGGAAACACAAAAGGAAAAAGCACCTCTACACAGTGGTCCCAGGTGAGGCCGCCCAAGCTGGAGGAGCTATGAATTCTGGAGAAACACGTCTCATTAGAGCCATGGCTCTGCAGTTACACAACCCGGCTGTGAGTCTCAGCTTTACCACTGGGTAAATCTAAGCAAATTATTTTGATCTCAGTTCCTACAAATCTAAGATGAGGGTCTGCTTTACAAATTAAGTGAGGGGATGTATAACCCATGTTTTATTAAAATATGCATTGCCCACTTCTGTGTTTTCTAGTTATTCTTTTTAAGGTTTATTTTTATTTTGTGTGTATGAGCGTTTTGCCTGTCTGTATGTATGTGCACTACATGTGTGTGCCTCGTGCCCATGGAGGCCAGAAGAGGGCATTGGATCCCAGGAACTAGAGTTACAGACAGTTGTAAGCTGCCATGTGGGTGCTGGGAATTGAACCAGGTCCTCTGCAAGAGCAGCTAGTGCTCTCAACTACTGAGCCACCTCTCCAGTTCTCCCCCCACTGAATCCTTTCTACTGCATCCAGGCACAACCACCCTCTTGCTCTTTTTCAAGAAGACTCCTGAGCTCTTAAAGGTCAGATGCTGGATTTCAACTCCTTGTCTTGGCCTTGTGGAGCCCTCTACCTTTTTCTTCTGAACACTATTGGACACACATACACACACACACACACACACACACACGCACGGTAACGCGCACAAGAGAGGTCATACTGTATACTGGGGCTCATTCTTATTAAGTTCACTTTCTGTCCCACCACAGCCAGGTGCAGAAGCCAAGCATCGCTGGCCACAGCCACATGGTAAACTAGCATCAGAAGAGCCATTTCTTGGGTCCACACCATGTGTCAGGGACTGCTCAGTGCTTGGCCTGCATCATCTCATCTTGTCACAGCAACCCGCCAGAGTCACATGCCATTAGCTTCCATTTATGTATGAGAGGACATGAACTCAGAAAAGTGACTGTACCTTCGCCTCAGAAGAGTGGCAACGCTAGGGCTCAGGCATCAGAATCTGTATTAGTCACTTTCTTGTTGCTGTGACAAAATACCTGGCGAGCAACTTAAGGAAGAGTGTATTTTAACTCATAGTTTAAAAGCACAATGCATCTTGGGATGGCATGGCAGCAGGGTCATGAGGTGACTGCTCACACAGCATCCACAGACAGGAGGCAGAGGGAGATGAATGCTGGTGCTCAGCTCTACTCTTTTATACAGTCCAGGGACTGATGCCACCTGCATTGGGGGTGGGGCTTCCTACCTCAATCAGCCCAATCTACAAACTCCCTCACAGACTCACCCAGAGGTTTGTCTCCTAGGTAATTCTAGATCCTGTGAAGTTGATGACAGAAACAATCACAGAGTCCCAGTTCTTAGTCACTAGACCATAGTGCACACTACACACACCAAGTTTATACTTTCTTCACACTGTCAGGGGATGGACAATACAATTTCATGATGGCTCAACTCCAAAATGTCAAGATCGCTAGCATTTTCTGATGGCCTGTATTGGTTTCACTGATACCCTCAACTGTTAAGAAATGGATTGGGTCGACTCTGCAGATGCATGCCTTTAGTCCCAGCAGTCAGGAGGCAGAGGCAGGTGGATCTCTGTGAGTTCGAGGCCAGCCTGGTCTATATACACAGTGAGTTCCAAACCAGCTGGGGCCACAGGGAGACCCTGTCTCAAAAGTTTTTAATTTAAAAAAAAAAGAGAAGGAAAGAAGCTGGACGTGGTGGCACACACCTTTAGTCCCAGCAGTCAGGAGGCAGAGGCAGGTGGATCTCTGTGAGTTCAAGGCCAGCCTGGTCTACATAGTGAGTTCTAGACCCTGTCTCAAAAGTTTTTAATTTAAAAAAAAAAAAGAGAAGGAAAGAAGCCAAGGGTCTGAAGAGATGACTCAGCAGTTAGGAGTATGTACTACTCTTGCAGAGGACCCAAATTCAGTCCCGAGCACCCACACTGGGTGGCTTACACCCATCTGTAACTCAGACCCTGTCTCAAAAAGATAGATATGATAGATAGATAGATGATAGATAGATAGATAGATAGATAGATAGATAGATAGATAGATAGAAATTTAAAATAAAATGAAAAAAAGTAACTTCCAAATTCAGACAACTCCAATGCCATTAGTCCTGTTGCTTCATGCTAATTTAATATATGACTTTCTATTTTTTATTTGTAAAGTATGAATCCTAATATTGTTTACCTCATATTGTTGAGATCATTAAATGAAATTGCACACCATAAGCTACTAAGGGCTCATAAACAGGAGCTGTTACTAGCACCATTTCACTCATCCTTACATACCTGTAAGGTTAGGTGTCATTTCTCCTTGCACTAAGTGGCTACGTTGGTCTTGGTTTAAATTCTCATCCTAGTGGAGTGTTTGCTGGTATGTACAAGGTCCTGGGTTCGATCCCCAGCATTTCTAAAAAAAAAAACAAACAAAAAACAGCCTAGTGTCTCCTCACATGAGGTCTCCTAATGCTTCACCTATGTTCTCTGCCAGCATGGAGCTAAACAGAGAGACACTTGCTTCCTTTGCTCCGATTGCCTTAGTCCTCGTATCAGAAATCAAAACCCACACCATGGTTGTAACCCCACAGGCCTCTGTACCACCAGGAGTCTGCCCTCATAGATTCTGATTTGGGTTTTAACTTCACACCTAATGGTCTAAACACAGGCATCTATCTGTACACCAGTTATAAACCAAAGGTTCTAAAATGTCAAGTGGAGGTGGAGAGATGACTTAATAGTTGCATACTAGAGGACCTGGGCTCAGTTCCCAGCACCCACATGGTGGCTCACAATCATCTGTAACTCTAGTTCCAGAGGATCTGATGTCCACCTCTGGCTTCTGAGGGCTCCTGCATACATGGGGTACATAAAAACCCAGGAAAGGGGCTGGAGAGATGGCTCAGTGGTGAAGAACACTGACTTTCTTGCAGAGGACCTGGGTTTGAATCCCAGCACCACATAGCAGCTAACAACTGTAACTCCAGTTCCAGGGTATCCAACTGTCTCTTCTGTCCTCCACAGGCATTGTACAACACAAGTGCACTTACCTACATGCAGGCAATACACACATACCCATAAGATAAAAATAATAAATAAAATATTTTTTTAAAAACTCAGGAAAACACACACAAACATACATACAAATTTAAAAACAATAAGTTAGGGGGCTGGAGAGATGGCACAGCAGTTGAGAAAACTTGCTGCTCTTGCAGAGGTCCTGGGTTCAGTTCCCACAGCTAACAACCATCCATGACTCCATTTCCAGGGGATCCAATGCCCTCTTCTGAGCATGACACTGGTGTACTTACATACATGCAGGCAAAACACTTGTACACATAAGACACAAATAAAAAATTTTTAAAGTTAGCTGGGCATAGTGGTGCACACCTTTAATCCCAGTGCTCAGGAGGCAGAGACCAGCTGATCTCTGTGAGTTTGAGATCAGCCTGGTCTACATAATAAGTTCAAGGCCAGTAAGTGAGTGAGACCCTGTCTCAAAAAAAAAAAAAACCAAAACAAAACAAACAAAAAACCAAGATTAATATTTATACTGTCTTGTGGGAGAATGGTAGGCGAGGATGTGTAGAAGCTGGCCCATGGGAGGACCTGGAACCCTAAATGGGGAGCTGGTAGCAGAGGTTTGTTGCATGGATCCTTGTGCTGCCTTTAAGGCTAAAATAAGTGAGTCACATGCCTGTGTCCCTGGGAGAGAGCCTGGTGCTTGAGAATGATCCATAAAGCCCCACTGATACCTCCTCTCACTGTCACATCTTACGAAGCCCCCTGCTTCTTTCCCACAGTGGTTCTCATAGCAACCAGTCTTTTCTATTTGGTTTGAGTCCACCCTCCATGACTGATCCTCAAACTAGTATTCTGTTTACTGGCTCCTGGACTGCGGTCTCTCAGCTCCCCTGCATTCTGCTGCCAGATCTACCTAAAACTTAGTCAAAATACCGGCCTGATGCCCTCCATGACTGATCCTCAAACTAGTATTCTGTTTACTGGCTCCTGGACTGTGGTCTCTCAGCTCCCCTGCATTCTGCTGCCAGATCTACCTAAAACTTAGGTAGTTTAATGGAGCAAACAAACTGGTCTGTTGGAACCGTGGGTTGTTGGGTTTGGTTTTTATTTTTGTTGGCATACATTAATTATACATAATAACGGGTTTCATTGTGACATTTTCATACATGTATAAAATGTATTTTGATCAGATTAACTCCCTACTTTCTTCTCTTGTCTCCCTCCCCCTCCCACTGATATCCTTGCCAACCAGTCCCCTTTGGCTTTGATGCCTATGTATATGGGTGTGGCCCAATGAGTTTACTTAGTTACTTACAGGCACATGGGTGAGGGGTTATTTACAGAGCATGGGCAACCTACCACTGAAGAAAGTGTCTCTCCCTAGATTCTTAGGGAGGCATGGAGCCTGAGCCCCTCCCTGAGCCCTGGGTTCTTTTGAGACAGGGTCTCCCTGAAGCCCCATGTTCTAGTCACTTTTCTGTTACTGTGATAGAAACACTGACCAAAGCAATTTATAGAAGGAAGAGTTTATTTGAGCTTACAGTTCCGGGGAATTATAGTCTGTCATGGTAGGGAGGCATGGTTGCTGGAGATGGCTGGAGCAGGAGCAGCAGAAGCTAAGCTCTCACATCATCACCAGGCACAGGAAGCAAGAGAACAACTGGAGATCCAGCAAGGCTTAAGTGCTCTCTAATCCACCCCCAGTGACATGCTTCCTCCAGGATAGCCACACCTTCTAAGACCTCAAAAATCAGTACCATCATCTGGGGACAAAATGTCCAAATACCTCAAGCCTATGGGGGACATTTTCATTCAAAACATCACATTCCACCCCCTGGCCCCCATAGGCTCATGATCATGTAAAAGGCAAAATGCATTTAGTCCAACGTTAAAAGTCCCCATAGTCATTATCAGTCTCAATACTATTCAAAAGTCTGCAGTCCAAAGTGGACTCAGGTAACTATCTTAACTGTAAGCCTCTATAAAATCAAAAGACAAATTACATACTCCCAACATACAGTGGCACCAAATACACATTACCATTCCAAAAGGGAGGAATGGAGGCATAGTAAGGAAATACTGGACCAAACAAGACCGAAAACCAGCAGGGCAAGAAAACACCAAATCCAGTAGCTCCATGTCTGACTTCTGGGACTTTACTTCCAAAGGGCTTAGAGGGCTCAGCCTCTCTAGCTTTGCTGCAT